AGAATACCATATTTTACTATGGTATTCTTAACAAGATTAAACCATTGGTTGATGACTTCTGGGTCCTCACATTTTGCACGCTGGTAATCATATTTGCGGGTATATTTTGATATAAGATCATCATGCCATTTGATAAAGTTGCTGACCCAGTTCTTTCCAGTAGATAGGCCTGGATTCCGATGAGATAGTAAGATATCCGCCATTTTGCGTACAGTATCCTGAGTTGGTGGTAGGCCGCGCTTATCCATATCCAGAATCCATTTCTTTAAAGAACCCTCTTCTAGACTGCTAAGCTTCTGGCAGTTGGCTGGTATATCAACCCGCGCTTTGCGGCCGCTAATTCGATGTATAAGAGTAGATCGAGGAACATCATATGCTGCTGCTGCTGCTCGTATGCTTTTAAACTGGCCATTTTGGTATGCTTTGACTGCAAGAGATATGCGATCTTCTAATTTAACAGTTGAATTTGGTTGTTTTGATGTCATATTGGATGGAAAATTGGGTTTGATGATGATCCAATGGATGCAAGTTTTCAGGGGTTCTGAGGTGGCTCGCTCCCTTGGGTGGCTCGCTCGGTTGTGGATTACGTTAACGTAATCCACGGGTGAGGCGCGGATACGGGTGAACCGCGGATTTCTGCGGATTTTCGCCGCTACCCAAGCAGTATTCTTCAACGCGTTGTTTTTTTGTTATTCCCATACAAAATGCCTTTATCCAAGGAAGCTCATATTCAAATGGCTATTACTGCATGGAAAGATAAGAAAGTCAAATCAATATTGAAAGCTGCGAAGCTATATAATGTAGCTGAATCCACCCTTCGCGAGCGGCTTGCTGGCGTCAAACCACGGTCAGAAACATGCGCAAATAACCTCAGATTAACTTCTATTGAAGAAGAAACTTTTATTAAGCAACTGCTAGATGCAGATAAACGAGGCTTTTCAATTCGGTCTGACTTTCTGCGTGAAATGGCGCAAATTTTACTTCGGGAACGTACACAGGACCCTACTGCAGTTCTTGGTATCAACTGGTCCTATTCCTTTACCAAACGCCGTCCTGAACTACGTTCAAGATATAATCGGAAGATTACATATGTGAGGGCAAAGCAGGAAGATCCAAAGGTTATAAAACCATGGTTTGAAACTGTACATGCAGCAATTCAAGAACATGGTATACGTCAAGATGATATTTGGAACTTTGATGAAACTGGCTTTGCAATGGGACTCTGTACAACATCAAAGGTTATTACTGCAGTGGAACGCAGTGAAAGACCTCGGAGAGTTATCCAAGGGAACCGGGAATGGGTCACAATTATTGAATGTGTGAGCTCTAAGGGGATTCATATACCACCAGTCATCATCTTAAAAGGAAAAGAACACCAGGCTCCTTGGTATCAAGAGGCCAATCTTCCTCCAGATTGGAAGCTTACAAACAGTGCTAATGGCTGGACAACGGATGAGATAGGCCTTAAATGGTTGAAGCAAGTTTTTGACCCTTTCTCTAAACTGCATTCCACCGGCGCGAAACGGTTACTTATTCTTGATGGTCATTCAAGTCATCTAAATGCTGAATTTGACCATTTCTGCAAGGAGAATGCAATTATCTCTCTTTGTATGCCTCCACATACATCTCATCTTCTTCAACCACTGGATGTTGGTGTTTTTGGGCCACTCAAACGTGCATATGGAAAATTGGTTGAAGACATGATGGTGGCTGGAAACAACCACATTGATAAAGAGGATTTTCTATACCTATATCCTTCTGCATGCGAAGCAGTCTTTACTCAGAAGAATATATTGAATGGCTTTGCAGGATCTGGTCTTAAACCACTTGATAAAGACCGGGTACTTGCAAAAATAACCTTTCAACTTCGTACACCAACACCACCTCTTATTGAGGTTGAAGGGTCAATATCTTCTGCTTTTCAAACACCTCAGAATCCCCGTCAACTTGATCACAAGTTCCGAAGCCTGCAGAAAAGTCTTTAAAAGAAAAGGACTCTTTCTAGTAGTCCAATTTCTCATATCCAACACCTTGAAAAGGCCGCGCAGATGGCAATGAATACCAACCTTCTTCTTCAGCGAGAAATCAAGGTTCTACGGGCTCAGAATGAGCGGAAAATGAAGAAGAAGGCAAGGAGGCGTGCGGTTCTAGGAAATGATCTCTTTATATCTGTACAGGAAGGTCGTGATCGCATTCAGCAGCTTGATACACTTGCTGAAGGGCAGATTGAAGGGCAGGTTGATAAGACTACATCTGGACTTCGGCAGCGAGCTCCACCACGCTGTAGTGGGTGCTGGAATATTGGACATAATAGAAGGAGTTGTCCTAATAAATAGTCATACATTCATATACTAGATAGTCTAATTTTAATGGCGTTGATGGTTGAAAAGCTTCAAAAATATATTAGGAGAGGGGAAAATCCGCAGAAATCCGCGGTTCACCCGTATCCGCGCCTCACCCATGGATTACGTTAGTTAACTAACTAACTACTACTTGACTAGTTAGTTATCTAGGCAGTTGCTGAGTCATCAGGCCCTCAGGCAACGACTGCTTTTTGGCTGCCTTTGATGCCAACCCTGCTGTGGTGCCTGGAAACTCAGGTATGACTTGAGTCAAGTCTAATGGCAAGAGGAAAATGTTGGGAAAGATCAAGTCAAGTGGTGACTGTGCTGCTCTGAGTGCCTCACATACATTCACTCACTCAGTGTTTAGTCACTGTTTACTGCCCCTGATTAACTAACTTTCTCACAATTTCTACTCTCACCAATGGAATCTCTCATTGCCTCCTAGAAACCCGTATAAGGAGAGAAAGCTATCACAATATTTCCACTGGCAGCAGCGGATTCTAGCTATCTGCAACACCATCGTCAAATCTTCTCAATCAAGGTCGAAAAGACTGTTCCGCAAAAATGACTCCGGCTCGTTGCAATGAGGCTTCGATGTCGGAGCAGGAGAATTCGCATTATGTTCGAACTCATGAATACATCTCTGGAAGTGCAAAGACTCGTATGACAGCGTCCGCACCTTCATTCTATGATGAGGACAACTCTCTTCAGGAAGTCATCAGCCTTACCTCTCATGATTTCCAAGAAGGGGAGTTCGTTTGTCCGGGATTCTTCCAGATGATCAACCCGGAGAATTTTGTGCATCGGGTCATGGCTCCAGACTGGGACTACATGATGCGGAGACAGGCGCAAGCGATCCTGCCATTTCTCTACTTGGGCCCTGTGTCCTGTTTGAAAGACAAAGCCTGGCTCGCCCAAGAGGGCTTCACCTTGCTACTGGCGATACGCAACAAACGCTCAGCACAGGCGCGCCTGGTTTCTGGTGAAAAGGCCGGTGTGGAGCTGGGAATTGAAGCAGACGCGATCGATGTCATGGACAACCAAGAACTCATCTCGGCGTTTCCTTATGCTATACGCCGCATCAACGATCATCTCGTCTCCTCTGGGGCTGCTGTTGGCTCTAGAGCACCAGGCAAGAAGATTCTTGTCTTCTGTGAGTCTGGCAACGAGCGCTCGGCCACGGTCGTCATAGCATACCTGATGGTCATGCTCAACCTGAACATGGCAGTCGCATCACATCTCGTCCAGCTTCGAAGATTCTGTATCTGCATTGAAGAACCACTGAGGGAGCTGCTCGCGTCTTTCCAGTCTATCCTTGAGGCCAAACGGGATGTGCAGAAGGCCACACAAGCGTCTATGTCGAACTCGACTCTAGCAATTCCTCAAATGACTGTGTCCAGAAAAAGAAGCATTGCTGATCGACTTGATGATGAGACTACAACTGCAGATGATGATATGATGGGAATGGACATGGGCATGAATATGAATATTATGGAGGACGGTTCAATTGATAATAGAAAACCTCTTGCCCCATTCCAAGATCGTTCAGGTTGATGAGAGTGAATGATCTGTCTTGCCGACGTGGGGACTGTGCTTCTTCAAAGGTGAATGCTTAGTTGACGTCTCGGCATGAGCTGTTTTTCTTGTTCCTCTTTCTGATGACTTCTTTCTGTGTTTCCTAATTCGGAGATACCCAAACATCACTCACACGTGTGATGTGCAGCGTTATCATTCTGCTACTATCCTGAAAGGTCTTATTGCTTAAACAGCTACAATTTAATCTTTTTACAAACCCATCATCATTGTCATTTTATCTAAGAACATACAGATCCATTTCTATTATTCTTGCTTTCTTTTTCTTCCTCATATTCGCTGTACAACACGTTCTCTGACGGATTCCTTCCTCCCAAACCCGGAAAGGCAGCCGTCTTCAGCTTCTGTACAGAGACAAGGGCTGCTCCGCCTATGAGCGTATTGGTTTGTTTTCTTTGCTTAAGACCTCGTTTCGTGACCTTGCTAACCTGTCACTGCGCATCTAGTGCCAGACGCCATCTAGCTGTTTCTGTAGAATTGAGATCACCATGAGACTCCGCGAGAGTATCCGGCCACCTGAGCGCTTCAACTCTGAGCTAGTCATTACACCATCATCAAAGAGGACTTTACGCGAACCTAGAAATCTGAGAACCCCTCGTTTTATCGATTACAACCCAAACCTACCTCCTGCTGCATTTCCCACGCTTGACCCGGCCAACCTCTCCCAATTGAGGACTGGTGAACAGGATCCGGCGAAAGTTGAGCCCAATGGCGTAACTAAAGCGGTGCAACGCGACAGCAGCTCGATTGACCTTCACAGGAGCGATGCGGAAGATAAAGAGACATGGGAGAAACTTGAAGATATCTCAATCGATTATCTTGAGGATCTCATTGCGAGCAACGGGGAACTCAATCCTATCTATGTCAGAAACATGGAAATCATGGCAACCGCAGACGAAGAATCGTCTTCTGATATGGACATGGAAGATAGCGATCTTGACGAGCCGATGACAGACATAGATGGCCGTCACGCAGAGGTATGCTTCTTGCCAGATTCTACGTCCTATTCCCGTGCTGACTCTTCCCAAGTCCATCAAATTCATTCGTGATCCAGAATGGTCTGACCTTTCTCCAAGATTGCAAACAGAGATCGCCAATAACCTCAGCCAACACTACGGATGGTCCACAGTCTATAGCAGGCTTGGCTTGGAGGAGAAAGAACGCGAGGAGTTACAGGAGCTCATCAGACACCGTGACCATCAAGTTGCGATGGAAGACTCGGCGCTGCATGCGATGAGGGCAAAACAACTCAGAGCGCTCCTCAGAATCGATAATAGCTCGGCGAGTCGCAACAGGATACCGCACAAGCTGGTCTTTCGCAAAATTTCCCGCAAAACAACCCAAAGGCTCAGAGACAACATAGAAACGGACTATCTCTTGTGCGAAGTTGGGGAAGTCCTGAACGCCAGACGATTCTTGCAAAAGCGTGGGATCGAAATACATTATGCCGGGGAATGGAGTGGCAGTGTTGTGACCTGGCCGAGGGCTCAAAATGGATCTGATTCCGGGAGAAGGGAGAGCCAAGGAGATTCGATGGTCACTGGGCCAGTGACTCCGTTGGGGGTTGGTTCGATCACCGTAAACGACCATAGACACGATTTCGCTGATTTTAGTAGGCCCAATCCGGCTACTCCTCCCCATCGCATTATTCGCACAACTGAAAATATTGAGGGAACTCTGGTACAGTACCAAGAAAGAGATCTGCCTCCTCGCAGACTTTATCAACGTGAACCAGGTACCCGACGACTGATCGCCCGCTTAAAAATTGGCCGGCCAAGAGCTATGTTTCTTCAAGCATGGGAGCAGTCTGTTCATCCGCGAAGATTGGTACGATCGTATCCACCTCTCGATGTCTTCTATAAGCCATCATCAACACCTCGAGAATTTGACATGGCAACTGGTACGGCATTAACCTCGGTTGCAACTTCGAGTCACTCCGCTCTAGACGATTTCACGCAGTCGCTACGCAATGCCATCGACGAGGATTGGCAGCGAGGCTTACTTGAGCTCGACCGTACATCTTTGATTTCCTGTTGGACGAAATTCCAGCGAGAGTTACAACAGGCCACATTTGACCCAGACACGCGCGAGCTTGTGGAAACCTTGGACCCGGATTTACACATCGACCGTGATTCAGAGCTTTCTGAGGCTGTACCATGTATCAACCATACAGATATCCGCACCTCTTCACGGTCAATAACACCTGGTAGAATTATGTCACCCATGAGCGTTGAATATGTCCAAAGTGGAGAAGATAGCTTGGCACCATTCAGCGAAGCAAGAACTCCACGTACAAACTCTGTCTTCGATAGCCCTGGGAGTAGCTGCTGGGAAACTTCTTCGGATCGTGCAGCGGCATACTCGCCCATGACACCAATGACCACCGCTACCAACACTTTCGAGATGCTTGAAGACGATCACAGCGAGAAAAGTGACGATGACTGGGAGGATGCAGAAGGCGAGGAAGAAGAGGACGAGATGATTTTGGTACCAGCCATGGGACCAGTAAGAAGGGCGGTTGCTAAGGGATAGTCTGATAGATCTAGGAAGCCACCTACCATTTCTGTGATAAGACCATACTACTTCAGCTAGATATTATGAAAAATCTATCAAGCCATGGTTATATTTGGTTGCTGATCTTCTGACTTAGAAGACCATAGTTATAGTACAGGAATGCCCGTACAACAATCATGTTCGTGCTCTCTTCTTGATAGGGAAATACACATCACATGACTGTGCTCTCTTGATAGCATCACGTGCCCTAGTAGTTGTCCCTTTCCCCTGACGGAATGAATTTGTTCCGGATGCCCCATCGGAGCCACTGCGGGATGCCCGAAATGGTAACGGGGGACTATCATCATCAACCGGCATCATCACAACTCCAATTAACGTTCCTAATATCCGGATCCCGGAGATATCCAATTGCAATATTTACAGTACACTCGACTTCGCACTTCCGCCATGTCAAATAAGAAGATCGAACAGTGGGAAATTGAGCGGTATTGGGAGATCTTCTCCTCATTGGCAAATGGCCATCCGCGTCTAAATAGCTCCCAAGCGGCATCGGTGCTCAGGAACAGTCGGCTTCGCGATGAACAGCTTGAGAAAGTATGGGATTTGGCGGATGTTGACGGCGATGGAGAGCTGGACTTTGAGGAGTTTTGCGTTGCTATGCGATTAGTCTTCGACCTTGTCAATGGGGTATGTCACTGATACTGAGCTTCGTTGCGCTTTGTTGTGAACTGTCTTGCGCAGTGTGAACTGTGATTGTCCGCTAACTGGGCTCACTGGACAGGAACTGCAAGAAGTCCCTCAAGTATTGCCCGACTGGCTCGTCCCCGAGACCAAAGCCCACCTCGTCCAAGCCGGCCGTGCGCTGAGCGGTCGTCCAGAGCATTTTGAGCGCATAGAAGACGAAGACGATACACCAGGCTTGAAGGACGGCTTCGACTGGTACATGAAACCCTCCGACAGATCTAAATACGAAGAGATCTATTCCGCCAACCGTAACCACCGTGGCGAGATCACATGTACGTACACCTCACCGTCCCGCTGGCCTAGCCGCATTCATACCGTAACATCCATTCAAGGCTAATGCTGGCTGCAGTTGAATCACTACAAGGCTTGTACGACTCCCTCGACGTCCCCGACACCGACGTCCGCTCCGCCTGGAACCTAGTCAACCCCTCTGCCTCCCCCGCAATCAACAAAGACGCCACCCTCGCATTCCTGCACATCCTCAACTACCGGCACGAGGGCTTCCGCATCCCCCGCACCATCCCCGCCTCTCTCCGCGCCTCCTTCGAGAACAACAAGATCGACTACCAAGTCGACAACGCCCGCCCCGCACAAAGGTGGGGTGCAGACGGGGACACGGAGACCTCAACAGGGCGCAAATCCAAGTTCGGCGACACGTATCTGAGCCGCTTGGGTGTGGGTGGGAAGGGCTCCTACACGCCCAAGGGCACGGACTTCAGCGACACAATCCAGGACGAAGAATGGGAGAAGGTGCGTCTGCGGCGCGAGCTCGCGGAGATGGAGGCCAAGCTTGATGCCGCCAACAAGGCCTCCGAAGGGCGCAGGGATCGGCCCCGGAACGACGGCCGGCCTAACTGGGTTCTCATTAAGAAGGAGGCGCTCCAGCTTTTGGAGTACAAAGAGCGTGAGCTCCGGGAGCTGAGAGAAGGCACGGGGAGAGCCAAGGAGGGTCAGGATCTGGAGCGGTTACGGGAGGACATTAGGACCGTCGGGGAGCAAGTTGACGGATTGAAGAGCCATCTCGCGCAGCGGAAAGATGTCCTTGCTGATTTAAGAAGTCAGATTGAGGAGGAAAGGGTACGGCGGTAATGGCCTCATTCTGGTCTTTGTTTTCTACTGCTAGATAGTACCTTACTTTCTCTCTTTGCATGCTTGCCGGCGGGGTTTTTTTTTTTTTTTTTTTTTTTTTTTTTTGGCCATTTCTTTTCAAGCCATTTTTTTGCCGAGGGGCATAGGCCCTAATGGAATATAATTCTTTAATTTACGCTTTTTTCCAGGCCTCGCCCAAGTCCTTTCAAGCAAGATTTAGGCCCTGTTTTTTAACTTTTTTAAAATATACATCTTTTTCCCTCCCCCACCCCCAGCCTTTTCCATTTTTCCAAACCCCCCCAATTACCCTTTTTCTTTTCCAATTTCCCCACCCCCGAGCCCACA